CCCCTGGTAAAAAAAAAAAAAAAAAGCTCTGCTCAAAAGATGGAGGCAAATAGGTGACTTTTTCACTGTGCCTATAGGTGATTATAGGTGGCCCCCTTCCTACACTGGAGCACCGATCGATCCCCACATCCAAGCAGGGGTCAGCATGGCCAGGATGCCCCTCTGGGTGGGCCTACGTCCCTTGCCCGACCCAGGGGTGGCAGGACAACAAAATGAATGCTGGGAATGTAAGAGGGGGAAGTGCTGAGAATTTTCTACACAAAAACGTAAAAATACTGTCTAAAAATCATATTACCACTCAAATGTCTCAGTGAGCCAACAGACTTTAGGATGGGCCAGCACAGATGGATCAGAGCAAATGCACCAATGCTAGGGGACACGTCAGAAGCACATGGATGGTTGTGCATGGCGGATTGGCAGCATCTAATTTCCCACGCTGAAGCATCCCATGTGTCCAAGAAGACAAGGGAGGACACGTGTCTATGAACACTTCCGCTGCTCAGACAGTGTACAGAGGCAGACGACCCTTGGGTTTGTGCGTTTGAAACCAGACCTGGTGCCAGGCTGGGCCAGCTGCATGTGGGCAGTCACCTCTGCTCTTCTGCCCTGGCCACCTGGGACTTCTCTGCCCATTTGCTCTCTGTTCTCCCTGGGGCCCAGCCTGTTCCTCGGGCAACCTTTCCTTGGGGCAGTGTTGGATGTGCTGGCTGCCCTTCCCCACTGCCCCCACCACCGCGATCCCTCCGCAGCTTTGGCATTTCCTGGAGCTCAGCTCCTTGCAGGTCCTCCTCAGGCTGTGTCCTAAGTCCCTTTACTGGCTGCATCCATCCTGTGGACTTGATTGGGTGGGCAGTACTCCCGCTGTGTATGAACTTCTACTTCAATCAACTGGTGAGGTTACACCCTCAACTGGGTAAGGGGCTGGTGCTTGTCTGTAAGGACACAGGTGGGCCAGGGGATGACACAGTCACCTTGAACCACAGGACCTTGAACCCCCATACCTTATTCACCTTGTTGGAAGTTGACGTTTTTTTCCCCAGTCACCTGATCTGCAGGCCTAGAGGTACACCACACTCCTCCCTCCTGTCCCTCTCACCTCGGTGTTGTCACCCCGAAGTCTGACCCTCGCCCCGTTCCTCCTCCCCTTCTGGATCAAACCACCTGGAGTTTCCTCCTGCAGCAAACAGCATCCTCAGCCTCTTCGGGGTTCCCGGCTCCACCAGCACCTGCAAACCCTCTTGCACCTGCACCCAGCTCTCATGCTTTGCAGCTGTTCCCGGTGCCCCACACCTCCACTGGCTTCTCCCTGAGTTTCCCAGGAGCACCTGCCACCCTTCTCTCAATGTTGCCGGGCGACCTGTCCTGCTGAGGGCTGGGGGCCTGGAGCTGTCAGAGTTGACTGCTCCCTGTGCTATGATCCTGGCCTGGGTGGGAGGTTTCGGAGCTCTGCGTGATCCTTCCAGTTCCACTACTCAGGCTTTTGGAAGTCTAGCCAGAGGATAGTATCCTAAATCCAAAGCTTTCTACACAAAAGTTTTCATTGTATTCTTGTTTAAAATAATGAAAGTGGGCTGGAGTTGGAGCTCAGTGGTAGAGCTTGTGCCTGCAGGTTCAATTTCCACCCCCGCAACACCAAGTAAAAAATAATGAAAGCATAAAAGAATCCAAATATTGATCAATAGGGTTCAATAAAGTAAATATGTTTATTTAATTTGGGTAAAATATTGGGTAAAGGGGCCAGGATTTAGCTCAGTGGTGCCGCTGCCTGCCTCATGAGTGCAAGGACTCAAATTCAATCTACAGTACCAAAAATGAAAAAGAAAGAAATATTGGGTAACAGGTGTTTTGGCACAGGTCTGTGGTCTCAGCATTGTGGGATGCTAAGGTAGAAGGATTGCAAGTTCAAGGCCAGCCTAGGCAACTTAGGCCTTATCTCAAAATACAAAGGGCTGGAGATGTAGCTTTAGAGTAGAGCATTTGCCTAGCATGTGAACCTCAGCACTGCACAAAAATAAACACAATATGCTAAATCACACATAGTATACTAGAGACAGTGTTGAAAGCTACTGAAACATGAAAAACATTAAGAGATGAAACCTCCAGCCCTTCCCTTGGCTCGTGCAGGTGTCTGATGGGCGATCACCGCCTTGTGCTTCAGATCACAGTAGCTGTTCTGAAACACATCCTGCAAGGGGACCTGATGTGTGACTGCTCTGACCACAGGCTCCTCCACATTCCTCACCTCCCAGCTTCTTCACACCTTGGAGCACCCTGTTTCTTTACCCCCTCACTCCTTGGTCAGGGAGACAGATGGGAGACTCTGAGTTTCCCTCCTCTCCACATTTGGGTGCCTCATGAATAAACTGTGAGGACAAATCACTGCCAGAGGTGGGGCTGAGAGTTTCTCTTCCCTTTTTTCTGAGATTTAATCGTCTTTAGTGTAATATGCTGCACATTAGAGAACTTTAAGTGCAGAGGGGATGCAACTCAGTGCTGGGCACTTGCCTAGCATTTGTGAGGCCCCGGGTTCATCCTCATTACTGCAATCAGCAATCAAGTGAAAGAAAGAGTGAAGAAAGGCTAAAACAACTGTAGTTTTACTATTGCTAACCTTGGTGTACTTTTCCAACTCTTTTGTATATTTGAGCTTTTCAATTTTTAGCCTAAATTTTCGGTTTGTTTGTTTGTTTGGAGTTTTAGTGTACCGAGGAGCGAACTCAGGATCTTGCACTTGCAAGGCAGGCAGTGGCTCCAACACACTAAATCCCTGGCCCCTCAATTTTTGTTTTTCTTTTTGTGGGAGTCGGGGTTGAATCCAGGGCTTTCATGTGGGAGACTTGGCTGAGTAGCAAATGATTAAAATGCAAAGCGCACAGGCTCTATGAGGAGTGAATGGTTAAACTACAGGGCAAAAAGCACACCGTCTGTGTGAGAATTGAATGGTTAAGCAAGAAGTTTAGTGAAGCATGTTGTGTCTGGCCATTGTCCTTTCCCTTTCCCCAAGAAAAATTAACCAGTCTTGAGACGGCTCCTTGCCCAAACTACTTTTCTCCTTTTTTCTCTTACACAGATATTTTAAACAAAAGCCAGAGAGTCCTCAGCTCTGGGGCTTTTTCTCCTGGGAGTTTCTAACATTGGGCACTCTTGGTTGAGATAGCCCAGCCCCTCTTGGCCTCTCAGTAATGGAGCTAGGTCTTGTTTCTAAGTAATCATTGGGCCGGGAATTTGGCTGTGTGGTTCCGCCACCTGCCTTGCGAGCATAAGGACCTGAGTTTGATCCCTGGTACCTCAAAACAACGTGTAAGTGATCATTCATCTGATCTATGCTGACATGGTTGCAAACTGAGACACCTTCGCACTGAGGCACACCCCCACACCCAATTCTTTTTCATTTTTTATTTTGAGGCAGGTCTTGCTAAGGTGCAAACTTGCCCAGGCTTAGCTCAAACTTGTGATCCTTCTGCCTCAGCCTCCCAGAGCATGGGCCGCCAGTCCCAGAGCATGGGGTTCATACATTTTTAAATCATGGGTGGCAAGGAGAAGAAAAACGTAATCAAAGGAATGGATTTTAATTTCCCTTTACAATAAAATATAAATCTGAAAAAAGATATATGAAAATAAATAGATATGAAAATTAGTAAGGTTGAACAAATATTTGTTTTTCAACAAGTGCATTGAAAATAGGTGTGATAGCGAGAACCCCAGCAGACCAGCCAAGCCTGGGAGGGCAAAGCTTGCACAGGAGGCTGGAGGTGGCAACTGCTGGGTACCAGCTGGCAGTGTCCCTGAGAACACAGGCTCCTACCACTGTCCTTTGTCTTGTGTGAGGAACTTTTGTCCTCACGGTTGCATGAGGGCTGCTGTACCTCCAAGCACATGCTTAAGTTCGGGCAGGACAATGTGCAGGTGCAGAGGGACAGCTGCTGCCTTCCCAGAAGCCTTACCAGGAGCTGGAGTGAGCTGTGGGCCAGGGCATCAGGGACAGAAGGAAGCCAGAGGGATGCCCTCCCCAAGGCTGGTGTTCCCCACACACTTCACCTGCAGGGTGGGAAGCAGCACAGCCCTCTCCGAGCTCATTTGAGACTATCATAGGGACAGAGAACAAATTTCCCAGGCCTTCATGACACTCATTCAATGGAGGATTCGTTTCTTGTTCTGAGGTAGTCAGGCTATTAACAGATGCTTTTGCTAAAGAGCAGTGACTGTTCACTTGGGCCTACAGATGCCCAATGGTCCACTTAAAGCAGAACAAAGCTTGAGTTTCATTTCTTTTATCCTTTGTTATCTTAAGACTTTAGGTCAGATCTTTGCTCAGCCCTCCACATAGGCATATTAATCATCTAGGGAGTGTCTGTCTAAAAGCTGGAAGTCCAAGGTTGAATAACCCTAAATTTATTTAATCTATCTCACCCTCCTTCAAGACTAAGGACATCAATGGGCATCCGGAGTTTACAGTCATTGCCCTAAACCTGTGCTTACCTTAGATTTCAATAGAGCTTCTGAAAAACTGAAACTGTCAAGCAGACACAATCATCTCATGAAAACTGATTGCGCCCTCCAGCGATAAAGGGTAAGGACTTCCCCAAAGTCACCTTGCAAAACCAGAACTGAGATTACAATAAAGCTCACCACAGGCACTTGATAAAAGTTAGTCTCGCAGGGTGTGGTGGCGCTCGCCTGTAATCCCAGCACTCAGGAGGCTGAGGCAGGAGGATCGCTATGAGTTCGAGACTACCCTGGGCTACATAGTGAGTTCCAGGTCAGTCTCAACTACATAGTGAGATCCTGTCTCAAAAAAAAAAAAAAAAAAAATGTCTCCTTTGTTCATGGACCAGTCCGATCTCTTTTAGGGCTGTTCCCCCTTCAGCTCCTCAAGCTGAGGTCACTTCCCATTTTCTCTTGCTTTCTAACTCTGCTTAATAAATTTGTCTATGTCTTGCATTGATGCACCCTGCACTGCCAGCCTGAGTAACTTAACAAGACCCTGTCTCAAAGAGTAAAAAGGCTGGAGATGTAGCTCAGCAGTAGAGTGAGGCTGGGTTCAGTCTCTAGTACTACACAAAGAAAGAGGAGGAAGAAGAGGAGAAGAAGGAGGAATAAGGGGAAGGGGAGTAAGAAGAGAAGCAGGTGTGTTAGTTACTTTCTCTCTCTTTCTCTCCCTTTTCTTTTTGGTGGGATGGTTTTACTATGTAGCCCAGGCTGGCCTCAAACTCTTGGTGATCCTGCTGCCGCTGCTTCCTAAATGCTGGGATTACAGGCATGCGCCACCATGCCCGGCTATTCACTTTTCTCATTGCTGAGACAAAATCCTCAACACCCCAAGTTAAAGGAGGAAAGGTTTATCTTGCTCCCAGTTTGTAGAAGCTTCAGTCCACAGTCGACTGGTTTCAAGGCAGGGTTGCATGGCAACCAGGCCTTGCATCAGAGAAATAGTTCATGGTGGGCAGAAGGTAGCAAAAACAAGAAGGGACAACCACAGCTCTTTCTATCCCTTATACTTTATCCAGGATTCTTAGGGCAGCTAGCATTCACACCCTTAATCCTAGTGCCCCAATCAACCCCAGCATCACACACTGCAGATCCAGCCACCTCTGAAAAAGCCCCACCTATAGCTGCATGAAGCTTTCGGGGGACAACGAGACACAGCCAAAACAGGGGAAGGAGAAGAAAGAAAGAAAGAAAGAAGAGAGAGAGAGAGAGAGAGAGAGAGAGAGAGAGAGAGAGGGAGAGAAGGAAGGAAGGAAGGCACAGAGAGCAAAATCCTCAAACAAAAGCTTGGAGAAGATCCTCTGCACAACAAGCTGGGAGTCAAAAGTCCCATGCAAGGGTGAGGTTGATCTGAAGTAAATGGCACCCCCTGAAGAGAGCACATTAGGGAATATTGCCTTAATGCTGAGCAAAGTGCACCACACCCCTAAGGAGCAGATGTGGATGTAGATTTTACTGGGTTTGGGGATGCTGGACCCTCCTTCTAGAGGTGCTTTCTGTCCCAAGTGAAGAAAATTGTTCAAGACAAGTGCACAAAGTAGCAAGGTTTTTACATTTTTAAATGTAGGATAACAAACAGGCTCTGCAGAGTGAGATTAGGCCAAGAAAAAGTAGGGAAAAAGATACACTCTGCAGCCCAAGAGTGACTGCTGTTTGCAGTAGCACAGCTCAAAATTGACCTATCCTTTTGTTTTTTGTTTTGTTTTTGGTACCAGGGATTGAAGTCAGGTCCTTGTGCTTGTGAGGCAGGCAGCGAGACCGATGTTTTGTATCACCCACTCCTCGGGCAGACATCAGGTCTCGGCCACCCTATGGAAAACCTGCTCCAGTTCTCATGAGAACTTGTGAAGGGCTCTGGGGATTGTCCTGCAGGTGTCCTGTTCCCACTTCTCCAGCCGGCTTTTCCATGCCCTAGTCTCCTATGTCATAGGTATGGTGGGGACATGTGCAGGTGGAAGGTATGTGTGGAAAAGGAGTCAGCATGCAACGTGGGGCCTCTCCCAGAAGCTGAGTCCTATCTCATAGAATCGGTGTAAAACTCAGCTTTCAGCCCTACATGGGCTGTACTTCCTGGCTCCTGCAGCCCTCAAAACTCTGAGCCAGGCTTCAGAACCCAAAGTCAGCCTGTCTGAGCCTATCTGAGCTTGCTGAGCCCTCATAGGGTGAGCACAAATGCTCTCTCACATAAACAGTTTTGCAGAAAGGAAAATGCAACAACGCAGACCCATCGGTGCAGTGAGGCATGCCTATAATCACAGCACTCTGGAAGGCTGAGGCAGGAGGATCACAAATTGGAGCCTAGCCCGAGCAACATATTGAGGGAGGCTTTGTCTTTTTTTTTTTTCCCCCCATCCTTGTGCTTGTGAGGCAGGCTGCAGAACCGCTGAGCTAAATCCCTGGCCCTAGGGAGGCTTTGTTAAAAAAAAAAAAAAAAAAAAAAAAGCAGGGGAGGTAATCCGTGACAGGCCGT